AAGTTGGACTTGAATTGCTCCACGGTGATAACACAAATGCCTTTTCTTCACGCTCCGCATTGCTTCCTTCGCCACCATAATGGAGTCAGCGTCCCGGAAACTGAGGCATTGCCAATCTGGCAGGTATTTCGATGTACCCCCATGTGCCTCAAGTACTGGTTCATTGAGCAGCGTCCCGGAGGAACGTAGGGGCATTGCCAATCTTGGCAGTATCATCATGTACCCCCATGGCCTCAAAGTACTGGTCAAGGCCAAAGAGAAAGTTCTCCACCATCGAGGCACTACGTGTACCATTGTACATCGCAGGCTTGGGTACCTTCAAGCCATGTGCTACGGGCTTCGATCTATTCTCGGGGATTGCTTTCAACAATAGTCGTGATCCACTTTCTCACTTACAATTCGCGGATGATACCCTCATTTTTTCCAGTGCATCACAAGGCAACCTGCTCAATGTTAAAAGAATTCTTCATATCTTTGAGTTAATTTCTAGTTCGAAGATCAATTTTCATAAGAGCAACCTTCTTGGAATTAATGTGGATTCACATGTAATTGCATCTTGGGCTAAATCCATCAATTGTAGTCTTGGCAGTTGGCCTATTAAATATCTTGGCGTTCCTATAGGAGCTAACCCCCATAAAAAGAGAATTGGGAGCCTGTCATCACCAAAGTAAACTCAAAGTTGTCTTGTTGGAAAGGAAAATTGCTCTCTAAAGCTGGTCATTTGGTGCTTATAAAATCCATTTTGATTAGTTTACCTCTGTATTATATGTCTCTTTTTCGTATGCCAAAAGAAGTAGCTTATGAAATTGAAAAAAAATTCGAAGAAGGTTCTTCTGGAATGGCTCTGAAAATAAAAAACTCTTTGCTACTATTTCATGGGATGTGGTTAGGAAGGACAAACATCTTGGAGGTCTTGGTACTGGTTCTTTACTTGAGAAAAATTTGGCTTTACTTTTTAAATGGATATGGAGATTGAACGAAGATAACAATGCTCTTCGGAAGAAAGTTGTGAGACACGAGTATAATCTTCCCTCAGATTGCTTCCAATTCTCATTTGATTCTAGTAGAGGTAAAAATTTCTCAGTGTGGACTTCGATTACTGGCATTCTCAATGACTCAGTATTCTCCAATTGGGCATGTTCAAATCTGAAATTCTTTTCGGGTAATGGAGAGAAACTTCGTTTCTGGTTAGATAAATGGGCAGGAGATTTTATTTTGAAAGAATGCTTCCCTAGGCTTTTCAGGATCTTGTTATGCAAGCATGGAACAATAGCTCAATTTGGATCTTAGGATAATGATATTTAGATCTGGAAGTTGTCTTGGACTAGGACTTTGCGCGATAGGGATTTATCTCTCACAACTGGTCTTCTTTCTCTGATCAAAGACATCAAGCCTAGGAAAAACTCTTGTGATCGTGTTATTTGGGCTCCCAACGCCAAAGGTACTTTTTTTGTAAAAACTTGTAAGTGGTCATCAGGAATTTAACATATTTCTACCTATACTTTCCCGAATATTTGGCATGGATATGTTCCGCCTAACGTGGAATTCCTTTTCTGGTTCTTGCTTAAAGGGGGAATTTCTATAAAGGCTCTTCTAATTCAAAGAGGAATTATTCATCCAGGTCAAGGTCTTTCTTCTTTTTGCAAGAAAGGATTTAGAGACTGATTTACATCTCTTTATTCTTTGCCCGTTTTCTTGGAATTTATAGTGCAAATGTCTAGATTGGTGGGGTTCTCATTCTGTTTTGCAAACAATTTTCTGGATCTTTTTTCACAATGCGCATTGATGGCTAGAGGAAAATTTCAATCCAGATTTTGGTTCTCTGTATTTTTTTCTATCATTTGGACCATTTGGAAGGAGCAAAATGAACTGATTTTCAATAATTTAGTATTGAAGGATAACAAGCTTTTTGATATAGTGCTTTATTGGGCTTTCATCTGGACTAAAGCAGCTTATTCGAATTTTCCTTATACTCTTAATCAAAGTCATTGCCTCAAGAACTACAATCAGCTATTGGAATGAAGCTATATCTGTCAAACCGACTGTTCAATGGTGCCCTCCTGATTATGATTCCTTGAAGTGGAATGTTGATGGTGCCTCGTGGTAAACCAGGATTGGCAGGTCTTGGTGGGTTCTTCGAAACTCCATTAGGCTGGTTCTCTTCTTGTTTCTTGCCCCATTGTTTACAAGACTCCAATTTGGCAGAGGTTCTTGTAGCCCTTCAAGCACTAAAGATTTCTATTAATGAAAATCTAACAGACAAAAGAATTTTTACTGAGTCAGACTCCTCAAACACTATCTCTTGGATTAATGGCTCCTCTTCTCCGCCATGGCAGATGTGGGATGAGTTTCATCAAATCCAGACTCTTATCCTCAAAATCTCAAACCTCTCCTTTGGGCTCATTCTAGAACTGCAACTTCTTTTGCAGATTCAATGGTTAAACAAGGTGTACTGCGAAATAATGATTTCCTGGCAAAAACTTTGTAGCTCAGTTACACTACTTTTCTCTCCTGTTCATTTTTTAACTGAGCATTATGTTTTGGTGCATCGAGTTGTTATGATGGGTCAAGGTGACTAAGTTTTCTTTGTCGCTGTGCTACTGTATATTAATTAGCTTTTTATTGTAAAACTCCTGAAGCTATGGCTGTAACTTCTAGGGCTTTTGCCTCCCTTTGATTAATAAAAACCCCAGCTTATCAAAAAAAAAACAAAAAAGAATAACAAAAAAATTTGCAATTAGTGTTTGACATTTTTATATTCAACCTAATTCCTCCACCATCTTCGTACTCACCCTCATGCGCATTTAGTCGTTCTTAGCACCACCACCATCACCATATATAGCCACTTATGGCTTCTCCTCCATATCCACCTTCTTCTTCTCTGTGGCTCAGCTATATCCCCCTCCATGTGCTCCATCTGAAGGACCTGAACCATAATGACCTTGATAATAATGTTGGTCTCTTGTATCAGCATAGTCTCCTACAACACCGCCATCACCACACCTTCCTCCATGGCCACCACTTTCCCCTCCTTGGTTTTGAGCATGAAGTGAAGGTGGGTAGTTATAACAATTAAATTTGGGGTCAAAGACGTGTTGTTTCCATTGAAAATGGCTGAGCCACACATGCAAAAGGGAAACGGCAGCCCACTGTTTGGTCCAATATGTAAAGCACACACAGAACATCGCAAAGTAGATCATTACTTTACTTACACTAACGATAGTGTGTATACTTAGTCTAAGTAGTTACTGTGCTTAGTTACGTTGTCCATGTGTACATTTAGTACAACAGGGGAGCCAAAGCTTAAAAATTAAAATTCAAAATACACAATTGCGGTTATAAGCCACCCCTCAAAGTCATCAAAATGACACTCATTAGGTTTCTAGGAGGTAAACAAAAATGGTTAACACCCCCCACCGAATTGGTCACCAAAGAATAAAATGCTCGAGCAATTATTTGCTCCATCCACATTTATCAAATTCGCGACATCATTTAAGAGGGAAAACTGTCAAACTGCTCATATCAATGTTCGTTGATTTTATGACTATATTTTTCATAAGTGTTTCTACAAATTAAATACTTATATTTTCATCGTATTTAATTACATAATATTTTATTTTGCCACGAGAAATTGCTTGTTAATGGTAAAATACTTTGCACAAATAGCTATATTAATAAGAACAACCTTTATATGGTTTCCAATGACACTATAAAATAAAGAGACGGCATTTAATGTTTTGGTATGCAACAAAAAAGAAAAGTTTAACTAGAAAATTTGATTATTTTATTCGATCGTAAATGCTTATTCACTTTGTATATTGATATAGAAAGTCACTTTCCAGAATTAATTTTGTATATTAATTTTTAAACATCTCAAGTTGGATAAATTAATATTATTTATGCATTAAACAACTAGCAATATATCATGTACCTAGATTGTTGCTTCAGTAAAATTTATTCGGAAATCTCGAATTCAAATTTTTGCTGGAGAGCCATTTCTTGGGTGTCACTCCTTAATGCATGATACATTTTAGTAGATATGGGTGTCGCAAAAATTCTTCTAATACTTACAGAACAAACTTCTGCTGTACCCAAATAGCTTAAAGATTTTACCACCTCAGCTCTTCTGTTGTATTTTATTGGAATAATTACTGTGGCACAAAAGAGCTGCAAGTTCAAAACAAAGTCAAGGCATTGCATTTTGTTGTTTCACTGCTGAGAGGGAGTTTTTTAACAGCCTGGTGAAATCTTTATTAATTCTAATCTTAAAATATTACAAAACAAAAACAATATTTAATCAAAACTATTTGGTTTGCTTCAGTTTGTTTTGAAAACTTAATTTATCATAAATTTTGAATGATATTTGATGTACATTTTTAGTGTAATATTTATATTAAAAATATATTTATTTTACATTCTACGTGACACTTGCTAAAAATCGATTTATTTCGATTTTGACCGAACCAACTTAAACTCTTGGGATTCAAATGTTTAAACAAAAATCAATTGTAAGTGTTAAGCATTTATCTTTTGATAATAATATAGCATTAGCATGTAACTCATAAGAATATACAGAAAAGCTAAATAAACTACATAATTTTTTTTTAAAAAAATTTAATGCTCTTATCTAATACTGAAAGGAAGAACAGCTAAATCTTGATTATAAAAAAAAAAAAAAAAACTTTAGATAATAATATAGATTAGCATGTAACTACATAAAGAAGTATCACAGAAAGCTAAATAAACTACATAATTTTTTTTTTAAAAAAATATAATGCCCTCTTATCGTTAATCTGAAAGGAAGACAGCTAAATCGTTGATTATAAAAAAAAAAAAAAAAAGCCCAAAAACAATTTTATTATGATTATAAAAAAAAAAAAAAAAAGCCAAAAAACAATTTTATTAGCTATTTTCAAAACTAAAATTAAAACCAAATTAATTAATTAAATAGGTTTATTTTTACTTTTTCAATCATCAATTTCCATTTTAACAGGTGATAATGAAACTTAAGAGGCAAAGTGGAATCGCATTAGTTATATAATAATCTGATACAACTTCATGACAGCATTCAGTAAATAAACATTTTAATAATAACAATAATAATTATTGTAAACTTGGATCCTAATTAATTAAACCAATTAGTCTCCTATTTCCACACCACCTTCGGTGAGAAGATAATCTCTTTGGAGAGTGAATAGCAATCGAAAGATGCTGATCTCAAGGAGCATATCCACCACCATGGCCACCACCCTGACCTCCACCACCTCCGTAGCCACCTTCATGCACATTTCCAGCACCATATCCACCACCACTTCCACCGCCAGAGCCGCCTCCGCCACCGCCACCACTGTAGCCACCTGTGGCTCCTCCCCCGTAGCCACCTCCTTCTCCTCCTCCAGATCCCCCTCCATGTGCTCCTCCTGAACCATAACCTCCTCCACCACCAGCACCACTTCCACCACCTCCTCCTCCACCAACACCGCCGTATCCACCAATGGCTCCACCTCCATGGCCACCTCCTTCACCTCCGCCATATCCTCCTCCTTGTGCTCCTCCATAACCTCCACCAGCACCACTTCCACCTCCTCCTCCTCCACCAACACCGCCATATCCACCAATGGCCCCACCTCCATGACCACCTCCTTCCCCTTCACCTCCACCATATCCCCCTCCATGTGCTCCTCCTGAACCGTAACCTCCACCTCCTCCAGCACCACTTCCACCACCGCCTCCTCCACCAACACCGCCGTATCCGCCAACGGCTCCACCTCCATGACCACCTCCTTGCCCTTCACCTCCACCATATCCCCCTCCTTGTGCTCCTCCTGAACCATAACCTCCACCTCCGCCAGCACCAGTTCCACTACCACCACCACCAGCGCCACCACCACTACCACTTCCATACCCAGCACCATGTTCACCTCCACCAGCACCACCACCAGCGCCACCACCACTACCACCTCCATACCCAGCACCATGTTCACCTCCACTACCATATCCACCACCATTACCACCTCCACTGCCACCACCTCCACCATATCCTGCACCATGATCACCACCAGTCCCATATCCTACTCCACCACCTATGCCACTACCACTTCCATATCCTACACCATGATCACCTCCCACACTATAACCAACTCCACCACCTCCGCCGCTACCACCTCCGCCGCCACCTGCATACCCACCAGCAGCACCATAGCCAGCACCACCACCTTGTCCAGCACCACCACCTTGTCCAGCACCACTTCCATATCCCACACCTTGCTCGCCTCCAACACCATAACCAACATCTCCACCACCACCGTGTCCACCACCAGCACCATAGCCAACACCCCCACCTTCTCCGCCAACACCCCCACCTTCTCCGCCACCACTACCACCTCCGTAGGTTCCAACGTGCGCACCTAAACCTCCGTACCCTCCCCCTGAGCCCCCTCCTCCTCCGTGGCCAAGGCCATAGTCAAGATTGAGGAGCGCTCTAGTGCCAGAGCATATGCCTAAACCTAACAACACAAAGAAAACTGAACCTAAAACTTTGTGAGTAGCCATTGGGAAGCGTTTGAATTCCCACAAGCTTGGTTTTGAGCATGAAGTGAAGATGGGTATTTATAGGATTGGATTTGGGGTCCAAAGACGTGTTCTTTCCATTGGTTGTGGCTGAAGCACATGCAAAAAGGAAAATTGCTACCCCACTATTTGTCCAATATACAAAGCACGCTAACAATCATAAAGTAGATCATTACTTACACTAGCAATAGGTGTATATACCGTATAGTCTCACTCCCTAAGGAGCAACTGTGCTTATTTGCTGTCCTCCATAACTGAATATCCGTAATATATTGGTCCATATATATTTATGAAGTAAGGTTACTTAAGTGTGTATACTATAGACCAAAGAGAAATATTTTATTTTTCTGTGTACTCCTGGAATTTTTTTTATTATTGTAATTGCTTATTCCAATATTTTTTCATTTTATATATTAATTTTAATGTTATATTGAGTTTTATGTTACATTATGGACTAATTTATGTGTATAATTTTCATTTTATGATAGCTTTTTTATTGCTATAGTTGTAGTACTTTTACATATTATCAAGCTACGATTTGAAAATTCTCCCTTTAAAAAAAAAAAAAAGCTAAAATTGAAAATTCTCTTCCTCTTATTATATCTAAAAAATTCTTTACTTATTTATCGAAGAGAAAGAATTACTTTGCCCAATGGCTGAACTCATCTAAATATCAAAATTAATTGTTTGATTGAAATGATTGTATTTATGACCATTGACTAAAAAGAAATAAAATAAAAATAAAATTTAAAAAATCTCTTAACTGATTAGTTTGGTATATAGAAGGCATATATACTGGCGTAGGCAATTCTTATTCTTTGTCAATAACATTCTATTTTATGGTGCTCTTCATGTTAATTTTGAATACGACGTATGGGTAAACGAATAACTACTCTAATAGTTTGTAGACTTTTATCATGAGTAGAAGACCAAAATGCAGAACAAAATGAAGATGTACCTGAAGGTTTGAAGGGAGAAAAAAAAGGGTAAGCTTGTTAAAATTTCTATCTCTAAGATAAATTGGTGAATGTTAACAAATTTATATAAGAAAATTTTGTGATTTATCCACTCTGATGCAACATAATTATTCCGGTATAAGGCTTTTAGATTCTAAATTAGCCTCAAGGATTGGAGGCTTTGCGTATATTCCTTGCTGTTGAGCTTTCGCAATGAAAAGAAGTTGGTCCAGTTTGTATTTGTTGTATAATAAGCTAGTAATTTCTTCAAGTGTTGTTCATGGTTTGAGTTTGGTTGTATTTAAAGATTTATATATAGTAGGTTTGATTCAAAGTGTGTTGCACGTTATTTATATTTATTCTATATACTCGTAATCTAATTTTTATATATATTATAAAAACATCACAAAAGTTTGAACGAACTAATAAAACCATTAGTATAAAAAATTTAGGTTTTTTTTTTTTTTCAGAAGAAATTAAATTTAAGTATTGATCCTTTATCAGTGATTAAATTGCAATTTATATTGTAAGAACAACTACTTAAAAGCTGGTAATTAATAATCCTTAAATTTAGTGGCTAAGAGAATAATAAAGGTTACAATAATTATATTTTTGATTTTCCTAATTGAATCATATATTCATATTAAGTTTTAATTATTTATTTATTTTTATTAAAAAGTTTAACTTTTACCCTTTTGAATGAGGAGGTAAATATATCAAAAATTTTATTGATATCCAATATAATAATGATTTTTTTTTTTTTTTACAGTGATTAAAGTTGCAATTTATACATTGGTAAGAACAACTACTTAAAAGCTGTGGGTTAATTAAATAATCCTTATTAGTGGCTAAGAGAAATATATAAAGGTTACAATAATTATATGTTTTGGAGTTTTCTCTAATTGAATCAACTATAATTCATATTAAAGTAATTATTTTATTTATTTTTATTAAATAAGTTGAACAATTCTACCCCTTTTTGAATGAGGAGGTAAATATATCAAAATTAATTTAGTTGATATCCCCAATAGCTAGGGATAGATGATGTTTTTGTTCTAAATGATATTTTCTATGGTCATAATAAAAATTTTTCCTAAATGTAAAATTTATAGATTTTTTTTTTTTTTTGTGGATAGACAAAAATTTTATGTTTATTTAATTAATAAAAATATTCTTCTTTTTAATTAAGTATTGTCAACATAATAAACTATTAAGAATATTCTTGGTTAAAATATTATGGTTTCTAATTAAGGAAAAATATTAATGTGGTAAACCTAATATGATTCTTAACTGAATTTAAACATTTATTTTTTTTAACCAACAAATTTTAATTTCTGAAATAATTTTTCTATGGGTTATTATCAAAGATTGATAAGAAACACAAAAGTTTGGACAATAAGCGGAGATAAAAAAAATCTATTGAATCAAATTAAATATTCATATACTCAAAACGAAAAAAAAAAAAAGAATATATATAAAACGCACAAAAATAATTTCGTACCATGAACTCAAATACTTCATAAAAGATAACTCATAATAAATTCAGCTTACAATCTGAAAGTGAGCAAAATACTCTATGCACTAATAATAAAAAAAAAAAAAAAAAAAAAATAATTAGAAAAAGAAAAGGAAAAAAGACAAGTGAAAAGGCAAGTAAATGATCCCCATAAGGATAAAATTTAAAATGTGGATAAGTGTAGAATTCTTTATCTCTTTGCTATGAGAGAGATTTACCTGCAATCAAAATTACCGCGAGAATCAATATGTTATGATATTTCAATAATAAATGAGCGGAACCCAACTTCGATAACCTATTCGTTAACAAGCCATATTATTAATCATCAAAAAAAAAAAAAAAAAAGAAAAGGAAAAAAGACAAGTGAAAGCAAGTAAATGATCCCCATAAGGATAAATTTAAATGTGGATAAGGAGAATTTTACCTTTGCAGAGAGATAAATGCATCAATAGCGCATCATGAGTTAATATAAATAGCGGAACCCAACTTCGATAACCCTATTCGTTAACATTATATTTTTATGAGTTTTTAAATTTTTATACAATATATTAAAATTAAGCTGGTATTCCTAATTAAGTTAATAGTCATAATGTTGTAATACTTTTTTATTAAGTTAATATTTTTCCTTTATTGATTATAAATATTTAATTAAGGAAAATATTTTAATTTGAATTATTGACTATTCAATTAAAAAAAGATTTATTTATTTTTTTCAACAAAAAAAATAATTTTTTCAATAAATTTAAAATACCGGATTCGACCTATCCAAATCTGATTAATATATATATGTAAAATATCAAACAACATGAACATAAATTCCAAACTTTCAGTTTATATGAAAAAGTCATATGTTTTCTCGATTAATAGCAGGTAAGTTTTCTCGATTTCATTTCTATCCAAAGTAATATGTTTCACACACAATCACATAAATTCACACAATTTTATGCAAAATCACGCTTTACACGTGAATGTTTTTCCGGGCCTAATCATGGAATTTTTAACTCTAACCATCTGCCAAAGGCCTATTTTCTTGTCACTAAAAATTGTTTTTGCAAGTACCTCCAAAAGTGGAGTATTTCAAACCATCAGTCCCCTGAGGCAACCAAAGTCCCCTGAGGTAGCGTAAGTCCCCTGAGGCACCCAACCAAAGTCCCTCGAGGCACCGTAAGTCCCCTGAGGCAAGCATCCAAAGTCCCCGAGGCAACCTAACTCTTCAAAGAAGGCACACATCCGTTGAAGCCGCCGACAATCACCATGGCACAGTTCATCCGCATTTCATGTCCTCAGTGACAACCTCTCACAGTGGAGCATTTCAGAATCAAGCCATCCCAGGTGGCACACCTAAGCCCTTCAAAGAAGGCACGCATCTGTTGAAGCCGCCGACAATCACCATGGTGTAGTTCATTCGCATTTTATGTCCCAAGTGACAACCTCCCACAGTGGAGCATTTCAGAATCAAGTTATCCCAAGTGGCGCACCTAAGCCCTTCAAAGAAGGCACACATCTGTTGAAGCCGTTGACAATCACCATGGCGCAGTTCATCCGCATTCCATGTCCTCAGCGACAAACCTCCCACTGTGGAGCATTCCAGCCAACACCGCCAAAATGGCACCTCACATCAGGAAAGCCGCCGAAATGACGCACTCCATCCATCCAAGTCGTTCAAAGAACGCAAATCCTGTCCGAAGGACATCAGCCTTGTCTCAACTAGACTCGGCATTTCCCCAGCTACCAGGTAAGTATTTTCTTACTTGCGCGTCTACTTTATACTTTGACAACATCTTGCTCAAAAAATAAAATATCATCAAAGTGGGGGCAAACTGTATACGCTTGAATTTTGCCCCTCTAGGCTCAATGATAATAAACCGTTTTTTTTACATAAGTGTGGCTCTGGATTTCCTATCATCCTAGTTTTCAGACCAATGGTCCGTGGCTGAGATAATACACGTGTTTAACCATCTTTACTTTTTTGGGTCATCGAGTGTTTTGTGATGAAATTGGGTTTGAGAAGTGCATCGAGCCCACCCGGCGTACTTCCCGATGCACCGCCTCGTTTTGTATGCCACCTGGTCTGATGTTGTAAAAGTGGGCTTGACCCTAAATTGGGGCCCATCAGTGGCATTTTTGCCACATAAGCCCTTGAATGGGGCAAAACATTCCCATTTGCCTATAAATGGGGCATTGGGAATTGTGTTGGAGATTTTTCATGGAACCTTAAGAAAACTCTTGTATTTTGGAAAACTCAATTAAAAATCAAAGCTAAACTTGTGTTTTCTCTTTGGTTGAGGTTGTGATTCATCCATTTCTAATCATAAAAAACCGTAAGGATTCACTAAAAAGTCCAGAAACATGTAGATCTAATCTCAAACTCAGATTATTAGATCCAGAACCCAACCTTTGGGTTTCTTTTATCCATTCTTATTCAAACCTTTGAAAATCTTCAAAAAGGTAATTTCTAAGGGCCTCTAATCCTTTTTTTCATCTCTTTTTCATTTTGTTTTGGTGTTAAATCACCGTTTTTGAGCCTGGTTGTGAGGAAAACCTGGGATCA